AAGGATTAAAGGGTAACTAATAGGGATGCATCAATATATCGGCAGCCGAAATGTATTGGCCGAAAATAGTGTTATTGACATTTTTCTGATAGGAAAAAAGGTGCCAACAATGGCTTCTTGTATTTAATATAAAAGAAATGTGTCAAGGCAACTCACATGCAAAATTGCATCCCATAGACTTTCATCCAAACACACCCATTAGTGACTTCAATACAAAATCACTTCCCCATAGTTTTCAATGCAAAAACGCCCCCTAGTGACTTTAATGCAAAATCGCCCCCTAGTGACTTTAATGCAAAATTACATTTCCATAGATTTTAGAGCAAAATTGCGTCCCATACACTTCAATGCAAAATTGCACCCACAGACTTCAATGCAAAATTACGTCCCATTGACTTCAATGCAAAAACACCAGCTACATTAATTAAATTAAAAACTACTAGTAACTAAACACACACATATATATATATATATATATATATATATATATATATACATATAGCTAATTGAGACGCCTGCTTTTACGCGCACATGAACTTTAATGGCATCCCAGTCTCAGTCTGTAGGGTTCAATATTGAGTTGGCCAACCATTTGAAGCTATAACAGCTTCAACTCTTCTGGGAAGGTTGTCCACAAGGTTTAGGAGGGTGTCTATGGGAAGGTTTGACCATTCTTCCAGAAGCACATTTGTGAGGTCAGGCACTGTCGGGGGAGGAGGCCTGGCTCGCAGTCTCCGCTCTAATTCATCCCAAAGGTATTCTATCGGGCTGAGGTCAGGACTCTGCAGGCCAATCAAGTTCCTCCACTCCAGACTCATTCATCCATGTCTTTATGGACCTTGCTTTGTGCACTGGTGCACAGCCATGTTGGAACAGGAAGGGGCCATCCCCAAACTGTTCCAGCAAAGTTGGGAGCATGAAATTGTCCAAAATGTCTTGGTATGGTGACACCTTAAGAGTTCCCTTCACTGGAACTAGGGGGCCAAGCCCAACGCCTGAAATACAACCCCACACCATAATCCCCCCTCACCAGTCAGGCAAATACCGTTCTCCTGGGAACCACCAAACCCAGACACGTCCACCGGATTGCCAGACAGAGAAGCGAAATTGCCCAGAGATACACTTTAAAGTGGTAGTAAACTTTTTTATTTTTATTTTTAAGCTTTATACATTTTTAAAGCTTACCTGCAGGTAAGATGAATATCTCCTGAATGTACACCGTTTAGGAGATATTTCAGCGAGCAGCAGTCGGTGATGTCACTGATGCATGTGCTCTGAAGGAACGGCATGCCCAGGGGCGGACTGACCATTTGGAAACTTGGGCACTGCCAAGGGCCCGGGGTCAGTAGGGGGTCCCATGAGATGCCCCTGGTACCATTTTCATAGGCTTTTTTGAGTTTGGGCAAGGACACAGGGGCCCCATGATCCCCTATTGCCCGGGGGCCCCATGAGTTGTCAGTCCGCCCCTGGGTATGCCTTATCATTCCTTCAGAGCTGTGTGCCGTGTCGGCGACTCCCTCGCGCATGTGCAAGAGTGACACCAACGCGGCTCGACAATCAATTGGCCGCAGCCCGCGAACCCGGAAGGATAACCGGGTAAAGATGGAAGCCTCCTCAATGGTGACAGAATGCTGCTGGAGAGCTTTGTGCAGGGGCGGACTGACAATTCATGGGGCCCCCAGGCAATAGGAGATCATGGGGCCCGTGTGTCCTTGCCCAAACTCAAAAAACCTATGAAAAAGGTACCAGGGGCATCTCATGGGGCCCCCTACTGACCCCGGGCCCTCGGGCAATGCCCGAGTTTCCAAATGGTCAGTCCGCCCCTGGCTTTGTGCGAAGGTAAGTCTTTCATAATCTGCTAGGATGTGATCTGTATTAGCACACTATGACACTTATAAATACAATGTGAAAATGATATCCAAAAACACCCTTAAACCTACACTGATTTCAAATTGGAAAAAACTTTCAACCCCTGAAAACTTAAAATCAAATAAACAGGTCCAAAAGAGAATCTACCCTCTTTTACCAAATAATCTACCTATATGTATAACAACAAAACTTTCCCCATATAATTGTATACGTAAACTAACACAAAAACATAAAGTCCAGTGTCCCAGTGATCAAAACCAAATCCTAAAAGTCCAGTGTCTCGATAATCAAAAATTGGTAGAACTAAAAAAGATGTATTCCTTGCAGTGTTGATTGTGTTCAATGATTTTTGTGGAAAAAACCTCAAAAATAAAGACACTATGACACTGCCTTGCTGGGAGAGGTTTTTGTTTTTTTACCCTTAAGTTTACTACCGCTTTAAGAGTATTAAGTTAGGGATCTTTAAAATACTTTTATTCCATTTGGCGGTTTTATAAAAAATGTTTTCATGGGTTTTCTGGTTTAATAATTTGTAGTTTCTGGATTTATTAATATCTGGGAAACCTTCCAGCCAACTAGAGCAAAAAAAAAAAAAAAAAAAGACAGAAAAGGCACAACAGAAAACATCGGTTTATCTTTGCATTGTCAAAAAATGTCCCGTTAAATGACTTGAATTAAATTTCTGATGGTGTAAACCCTTGAAATCTGCCATTATCTTGAGTTGCCAAACCCAAGCTGAAAGCTGAAGTCAGGCTTGCATTAGGTGTTTCTGCTCTATAAGATGGGGGGGGGGGGGGTACTTATAGCAGAGATAGAGTTCAGGGTAGGTACCACCAATGTGGGTGGTCTCTACCTGTTTAACGAGCAGGTAGGAGGTGAGGTACTGAACTGGTCTCCACGATTGCAGACCTTCCATAGGTGATGTGGCAATTTAACTGAGTGGATACATGTGCATAGAGAAATTATTTATTTATTACAGGGCCAGGGGCGGACTGACAATTCATGGGGCCCCCGGGCAATAGGGGATCATGGGGCCCCTGTGTCCTTGCCAACACCCACAAAAGCCTATGAAAAAGCCAATGAAAGGTACCTGGGGCATCTCATGGGGCCCCCTACTGACCCCGGGCCCTCAGGCAGTGCCTGAGTGCTCGAATGGTCAGTCCGCCCCTGTACAGGTATTTATATAGCACCCACAATTTAGGCCGTGCTTTACATATATAGTGTACATTTACATTAGTCCCTGCTCTTGAAGAGCTTACAATCTAAGGTCCCTCACTCACATTCACACATACTAGGGCCAATTTAGACAGGATCCATTCAACCTACCTGTATGTCTTTGGAGTGTGGGAGGAAACCGAAAAACCCAGAGGAAACCTACACAGGCACAGGGAGAACATGCAATCTCCAGGAAGGTAGTGCCATGGATGGGATTCCGACCAACAACCAACAAGCGCTACGGAGCGTGAAACGTGTTAACTTTTTCCTACTGTACCATCATCTGTGTGCCAATGTTGTGACATGGATTCATTCATTATGCTTCAATAAACCACATTTTAGTGGCGTGTGCTGCCAATTTTCCGAATTTTCTGCTGTCTCCACAGGCGAGCCGGGTGGGCACCTCTATGTGTTTTGGATACATCCTGCTACACCACCTCTTCTCTTTGGATCTAGTGCTGCCAGGCAGAAGTGCTAACCAGTTAATCAAATTATGAGATAATAGGTACTATGATTGATGCAAGGAGGCACTCTGGGGGGGGGGGGGGAACTGATGTAAGGGGGTACACTGATGGAAACAACTGATGTAAAGGGGAACTCTAATGAAAACAAATGACGTGAGGAGGCACTCTGGGGGGGGGAACTGATGTAAGGGGGTACACTGATGGAGACAACTGATGTAAGGGGGAACTCTAATGAAAACAAATGACGTGAGGAGGCACTCTGGGGGGGAAAACTGATGTAAGGGCGTACACTGATGGGGACAGTCTGATGGAGACATCCCAGTGTCTCCATCAGAGTGCCCCCTTAGATCAGGTGTTCCCATCAGAGTGCCCCCTTAGATCAGGTGTCCCCATCAGAGTGCCCCCTTGCATCAAGAACCTGCTTACATCAACTGTCCCATTAGAGTTACCCTTTACATCAATTTTACCCACCAGAGTGCCCCCTCACATCGTTTCCATCAGATTTCCCCCCTACATCAGTTGTCTCCATCAGAGTGCCCCCTTGCATCAATCAGCATATTACTTGTCAACAGGGGCGGACTGACAACACATGGGGCCCCCCGGGCAATAGGGGATCATGGGCCCCTGTGTCCTTGCCCAAACTCAAAAAAGCCTATGAAAAAAGGTACCAGGGGCACCTCTTGGGGCCCCTTACTGACCCCGGGCCCTCGGGCAGTGCTCGAGTTTCCAAATGGTCAGTCCGCCCCTGGGTGTCAAATAGTTTGACAGGTCAAACAGTACTGTAAGTATTTCGGCTTATTATTTATTTGTTTTGCTATTGGTGACATCTCTAATTTTATTTAATTTTTTTTTTAATACATTTTATTTTCCATTGTCTGAATGGTACAATATCAAGCTCAGGGCCGGATCTACTGTTGCCATATGATCTGGGGGTGCGGTATAAAAAGAAAAGGGGCATATTGTTAGCAGTGTGACAGAGATACAAGGAACCAGTATTCTATGTTCACTCAGCATGCTTCTGTACCACAAGTTGCAACATGATAATAACATGTGACAGATGTGCAGGAGTGAACAGGGAGCACTAGCGTGTATTATGCTGTCATTGGATTAGGATGATTAAATAGAGCCTGTGCCTCCTTTAAGTTTCACTACATCGGATTCCCTCTTTACATTTGTTGTTCCCCTCAGTGTGCCCCCTTGCATCAGGTGTCTCCATCAGAGTGCCCCCTTGCATCAGGGGTCTCCATCAGAGTGCCCCCTTGCATCAGGTGTCCCCATCAGAGTGCCCCCTTGCATCAGGTGTCTCCATCAGAGTGCCCCATTGCATCAGGTGTCCCCATCAGAGTGCCCCCTTGCATCAGGTGTCTCCATCAGAGTGCCCCGTTGCATCAGGTGTCCCCATCAGAGTGCCCCCTTGCATCAGGTGTCCCTATCAGAGAACCCCGTTGCATCAGGTGTCCCCAACAGAGTGCCCCCTTGCATCAGGTGTTCCCATCAGAGAGCCCCCTTGCATCAGGTGTCCCCATCAGAGTGCCCCCTTGCATCAGGTGTCCCCATCAGAGTGCCCCCTTGCATCAGGTGTCCCCATCAGAGTGCCCCCTTGCATCAGGTGTCCCCATCAGAGTGCCCCCTTGCATCAGGTGTCCTCATCAGAGTGCACCCTTGCTTCAGGTGTCCCCATCAGAGAGCCCCCTTGCATCAGGTGTCCCCATCAGAGTGCCCCCTTGCATCAGGTGTCCCCATCAGAGTGCCCCTTGCATCAGGTGTCCCCATCAGAGTGCCCCCTTGCATCAGGTGTCCCCATCAGAGTGCCCCCTTGCATCAGGTGTCCCCATCAGAGTGCCCCTTTGCATCAGGTGTCCCCATCAGAGAACCCCCTTGCATCAGGTGTCCCCATCAGAGTGCTCCCTTGCATCAGGTATCCCCATCAGAGTGCCCCCTTGCATCAGGTGTCCCCATCAGTGTGCCCCTTTGCATCAGGTGTCCCCATCAGAGAACCCCCTTGCATCAGGTGTCCCCATTAGAGTGCCCCCTTGCATCAGGTGTCTCCATCAGAGTGCCCCATTGCATCAGGTGTCCCCATCAGAGTGCCCCCTTGCATCAGGTGTCCCTATCAGAGAACCCCGTTGCATCAGGTGTCCCCATCAGAAAGCCCCCTTGCATCAGGTGTCCCCATCAGAGTGCCCCCTTGCATCAGGTGTCCCCATCAGAGTGCCCCCTTGCATCAGGTGTCCCCATCAGAGAACCCCCTTGCATCAGGTGTCCCCATCAGAGTGCCCCCTTGCATCAGGTGTCCCCATCAGAGTGCCCCCTTGCATCAGGTGTCCCCATCAGAGTGTACCCTTGCTTCAGGTGTCCCCATCAGAGAGCCCCCTTGCATCAGGTGTCCCCATCAGAGTGCCCCCTTGCATCAGGTGTCCCCATCAGAGTGCCCCTTGCATCAGGTGTCCCCATCAGAGTGCCCCCTTGCATCAGGTGTCCCCATCAGAGTGCCTCCTTGCATCAGGTGTCCCCATCAGAGTGCCCCTTTGCATCAGGTGTCCCCATCAGAGAACCCCCTTGCATCAGGTGTCCCCATCAGAGTGCTCCCTTGCATCAGGTATCCCCATCAGAGTGCCCCCTTGCATCAGGTGTCCCCATCAGTGTGCCCCTTTGCATCAGGTGTCCCCATCAGAGAACCCCCTTGCATCAGGTGTCCCCATCAGAGTGCCCCCTTGCATCAGGTGTCCTCATCAGAGTGCCCCCTTGCATCAGGTGTCCCCATCAGTGTGCCCCTTTGCATCAGGTGTCCCCATCAGAGAACCCCCTTGCCTCAGGTGTCCCCATCAGAGTGCCCCCTTGCATCAGGTGTCCTCATCAGAGTGCACCCTTGCATCAGGTGTCCCCATAAGAGTGCCCATTTGCATCAGGTGTCCCCATCATAGTGCCCCTTTGCATCAGGTGTCCCCATCAGAGAACCCCCTTGCATCAGGTGTCCCCATCAGAGTGCCCCCTTGCATCAGGTGTCCCCATCAGAGAACCCCGTTGCATCAGGTGTCCCCATCAGAGTGCCCCCTTGCATCAGAGTACCTCCTTACATCAACTGTCCATATCAGACTGTCCTTACATCAATTGCTCCATCACAATGCCCCCTTCCATCAAAGTTCCACATCAGAATGACTCCTAAGATCAATGGTCCACATCGGAGTACCCCTTTACATCACATCAATTGCACCTGTGTATAAACAACACAGATCTCTCCCCTGTCAGTTCATGCACACTGCTTTGTATGGCTCTGCATAGCAGTGTGTTTACAGTGTAAAGCACAGACACACAGCACACAGTAAAACAGCCCAGAGATAACCTTTTGATCGCCCCACATGTTAACCCCTTCCTGCCCAGTGTCATTAGTACAGTGTCAGTGCTTTTTATTAGCACTGATCATTGTATTGGTGTCACTGGGGATGTCAGTGACACCAAGTCAGTTCCCCCCCCAATGTGAGAATGCCCGCCGCAGTCCCGCTATAAGTCGCTGATCGCCGCCATTACTAGTAAAAAAATAATAATCCCAGTATCTATACCGCCATTTGTAAACGCTATAACTTTCACGTAAACCAATTAATTTACACGTATTGGGATTTTTTTTAGCAAAGACGTCGCAGAATACATTTTGGTCTAAATTTATGAAAAAATTTAATTTTTAAATTTTTTTTACTGGACATGTTTAATAGCAAAAACTACAAAATATTGTTTTTCTCAAAATTTTTGGTCTTTTTTTGTTTATAGTGCAAAAAATTAAAAACAGGAGATCAAATACCACTGAAAGAAATCTCTATTTGTGGGGAAAAAAGGATGTAAATTTAATTTGGGTGCAGCATTGTATGACTGCGCAATTGTCATTTAAAGTAACGCAGCGCTGTATCTCAAAAAATGGCCTGTTCAGGAAGGGGGGTAAATCCTCTGGAGGGCAAGTGGTTAACCCCTCGCCTACAGGGCACATATACCCCCTTCCTGCCCAGGCCAATTTCCAGCTTTCAGCGCTGTCACACTTTGAACGACAATTGCGCGGTCATGCATCACTGTACCCATATGAAATTTTTATCATTTTTTTGTGACAGATAGAGCTTTCTTTTGGTGGTATTTAATCACCTCTGGGATTTTTATTTTTTCTTAAACAAACCAAAAACCGCTGAAAAATTTGAAAAAAAAATGTTTTTTCTTAGTTTTTGTTGTAAAGTTTTGCAAATAAGTGATTTTTCTCCTTCACTGATAGGTGGCACTGATGGGCACTGATGAGGAGGCACTGGTAGGTGGCACTGATGGGCATTGACAGGCATCACTGATGGGCACTGAAAGGCAGCACTCATATATATGGTACTGATAGGCAGCACTGGTAGGCGGCACTGGCACTGACGGGCACTGGGGCACTAGGGCGGCACTGACTGGCACTGATAGGTGGCACTGATTGGAAGGACTGATAGGTGGCACTGATTGGCATTGATAGGTGGCACTGATAGGTGGCACTGATTGGCATTGATAGGTGGCACTGACTGGCACTGATGGGTGACACTGAAACACAGCTCAGATGGGCACTGATATGTGGCATTGATGGGCACTGGTAGGGCACTGATATGTGGCATTGATGTGGCACTGATAGGCACTGACAGGTGGCACTTCTGGGGCCACACTGATCATCAGGGCACACTGATCATCAGTGCCCTGATGATCAGTGTACCTGTCCCCTCCGCGGAATGCCGATTACCGGCTCTCCCCTCCTCTCCTCTGTCAGCATGACAGCTCGTGAGGAGAGAAATGCCAATAATCGGCATTTCCGTGTTTACATGTGATCAGCTGTGATTGGACACAGCTGATCACATGACCAAGCCAACATCTTCGGCTCTTTCCGTAGATCGGTGCTGTGTCCGAGGGACACAGCGCACCGCCGATCGCCGCGCTGCGCGCTTCCTGAGCCACGCATGTGCGGTGAGAATGGGAGGACGTCATATGACGTCCTATCAGAACGAGAGAACCACCTTGCGTCCGTCATTGGACTATATGGCGGGCGGGAGGTGGTTAAAGTGGTCACAAAGCTGTGTTAGTGCTCTTGCTGGGATGGATAAATAAAGGGTAATTAGAGCGGTGACATGGAGAAAATTATGCTACGGGCTCCCTCCAGTGCTGCTTAAATATCTAACAGCATTAACATTTTTGTTATAGGATTTTAGATCAGCTACAAGAAATGTGTGATAAAATGACTAACTTTTGATTTGTTTAGATGAGGAAACGTTCAAAGACAAGCATTCAATTCTGAACCAAAAGATAAAACTGATAAAAGTTGATAAAATTACTGCAAGTTGATCATTTACCTGGAGGGTTTGTTTTTTTTTTTTTTTTTTTTTTTTTTTTTTTTTTGCCGCAGTTTTATTTTAAAAGGTCAGTCCACCGAAAATTGATATTGATCATAGTTCCAGGTGAAATCTGGATGTCCCCTTTCACACGGGCGTTCCGTTTTTTTTCATCAGTTCAGTCACGTTTTTTCAAAGAAAAAATGGATCAGTTCACATCAGTTTTTCTTAAGTTTACATCAGTTTTTCATCAGCTTACATCACTTTACATCCGTTTTTCATCAGTTTTCATCCGTTTTTCATCTGTTTTTTCATCAGTTTACATCCATTTTTCATCAGTTTTCATCAGTTTTTCATCAGTTTTTTTCATAAGTTTTCATCTTTTTTCATCAGATTTTCATGTTTTTTTTCATCAGTTTACATCTGTTTTTTGTCCATTTACATCCATTTTTGTCTATTTACATCCGTTTACAGCCGGGTTCATCCATTTTTGTCCGTTTACACCTCCTTATTGATGCTGTTTTTTAGTGCTTTTTGCAGGAATGAACTACAGTCCATTTAGCATGGTTTCCTATGGGACACGGTCACATATATGCTTTTTTGAGCTGCTGCATTTTCGGAAAGGACTTTTTTAAAATGCAAAAATGTTGCATTTTGGTTAAATAGACACAATTTTTAACACATTTAATGCATGTTTGATGCGTTTTGCGTTTGTAATTTTCCAAGCAACAAGTTGGCTCCAAAAAAAATAAAAAAATAAAAAAAATGCAAAACTCAAAATGCACTGCAAATTGGCCAAAATCAAACTGCATTGGTGTGAAACAAGCCTGAAATGCATTGAACACGCAGGAAAAACACGTGTTGCATTTTTGATGTGTTTTGTGTTTTTAATCTGCCCAGCAACAAATCGGCCAAAAATCTAAATTCAAAAAACACAAAACACATTAAAAAAAGTGTGTCAAAAAAGCACTGGTGTGAACCAGGCCTGAAATTCAGCAAAAACGCATCGAAAACACACACACATGTTTTGTGCTTTTTATGTGTTTTTTAATCAGCCCAGAAACAAGTTGGCCAAAAAAAAAATTTTAAAAAAGAAAACGCATCAAAAAATGCATCAAAATCGTGCGTGCAAAAAGGCAAAATGCCTGAACCAGACCTGAAATGCATTGAAAATGCAGAAAAAAAAAACATTGAAAACGTACATTCGTTTTTAATTTTCCCAGAAATAAGTTGGCCAAAAAAAAAAACATTCAAAAAATGCAAAACGCATAAAAAATGCGTCAAAATGAGCATTAAAAAATGCAAAATGCACTGCAAAAAGTACTGCAAAATGCACTGCAAAAACTAAACAAAACACAAACTACATTGGTGTAAGCCAGGCCTGAAATGCATTGAAAGTGCAGGAGAAACATTGAAAACACACGTGTTGCGTTTCTGATGTGTTTTTAATCTGCCCAGAAACAAGCTAGCCAAAAAAAAAAATGCTTCAAAACGACCATGCCAAAATGCAAAACTGCAAAAGGCACTGCAAAACAGACACACCACAAACTGCATTGGTGCGAACCAGGCCTGAAATACATTGAAAATGCTGCAAAAATGCAGTAAAAATGCACGCGTGTTGCATTTTTAACCACTTGCCCTCCAGAGGATTTACCCCCCCTTCCTGACCAGGCCATTTTTTTGCGATATGGCGCTGCGTTACTTTAACTGACAAAACGCTGCACTCAAATGAAATTTACATCCTTTTTTTTACCACGAATTTAGCTTTCTTTTGGTGGTATTTGATCGCCTGTGCGGTTTTTATTTTTTGTGCTATAGAGAAAAAAAAAACGAACAATTTTGAGAAAAAAAACAATATTTTTGACTTTTTGCTATTAAACATGTCCATTAAAAAATGTAAAAAAATAAAATTTTGTCATAAATTCAGGCCAAAATTCTGCTCCATGTTTTTTTGTAAAAAAAAATCTGTGTAAATTAATTGGTTTACATGAAAGTTACAGCTTTTACAAATGGCGGTATAGATACTGGGATTTTTATTTTTAATTATTTTTACTAGTAATGGCGGCGATCAGCGACTTATAGCGGGACTGCGGCGGGCATTCTGACACTGGGGGAGGAACTGACTTGGTGTCACTGACATCCCCAGTGACACCAATACAGTGATCAGTGCTAAGAAAAAGCACTGACACTGTACTAATGGCACTGGGCAGGAAGGGGTTAACATGTGGGGCGATCAAAGGGTTAACTGTGTGCTGTGATAGTGCTTTCCACTGTAATCACACTGCTTTGTATGCTGTGCTATGCAGAGCCATAAGAAAGCAGTGTGCAGGAGCTGACAGGGGAGAGATCTGTATTGTTCACTTACAATTCTCTCCCTCCGTCGCTAATCCTGCTTGATCACCAGGTGCCAGCGAGTAATCCCCGACCGGGACCCAGTGATTGACAGCCAAGGCCACAAATAGCGGCACAGGTAGGGCGTGCGCATGACTAGCGCTCCCCCCTACCCGGAAATGCAAAATCTGGTATGTTTACGTGATTTTGTACACCCCTACCGCCCTGCAGCAGTATACCTGCTATCGGGCGGCGGGAAAGCAGTTAATGCATTTTGTATTTTTTAACCTGCCCAGCAACAAGTTGGCCAAAAAAAGAAAATTCGAAAGACACATCAAAAAAGAGAAAAACGCACAGAAAAAAAAATTTGGTGCGTTTTTAATCTGCCCAGCAACCAGTTGTCCAAAAAAAAAAAATTCAAAAGACGCATCAAAACAGAGAAAAACACACAGAAAACGTTTTTGGTGCGTTTTTAATCTGCCCAGCAAACAGTTGTCCAAAAAAAAATAAAAAATTCAAAAGACGCATCAAAACAGAAAAAAACACACAGAAAAACGTTTTTGGTGCGT